TGTCTGTTCCTCTGCCCCTTCCCTCTTTGGGAGGGATGCAAAGCACCTCTGGCAGCTGCTCATCTGAAATGAATCCACTGAAAGGCCACTAAGGCAGGAGGAGGGCAAGGTGGGGATGGTCCTGAGGGAGCAGAGTTGGCCTTTCCCCACTCCAGTCCTCTGGATTTAGAGCTCTGGGGCTAAACCTGAAGGAGTTCCAAGGCATTTTCTTCAGTCAGGGCTTCAATAAGGAGATTCCTTTTCTGGTATTATGCTTTTATAATTTATTCCTGGCTTTGCTGGAATCGAAGTTATCAAGCATTTATCACACATCTGTCCCTGGGAAGGGATGTCAGTCAGAGCTTGTTATTGAAGGAGAGGTAGAGAAAATAGCATTTAACCAAGTGATGGAAAAAGTGAGGAATGAGGTTTAGAGCACCCCAGAGCAGGGTTGGCCCTTCCTCACTCAAGTCCTCTGGATTTAGAGCTCTGGGGCTAAACCTGAAGGAGTTCCAAGGCATTTTCTTTTGTCAGGGCTTCAATAAGAAGATTCCTTCCCTGGTATTTATCCAACAGCTGAACCAGTGCACAGCAACCCCGAGCTCCCAGGTACTGAAAGGAATGGAGTGCTAATTATTTATGTTACCAGAACACTCAGGGAAGGAACTTTCCCTTCGTTCTTTGCTTTCTTTTACACCCAAAGGAATCAGCTGCTTTTATAATTTATTCCAGGCTTTGCTGGAATCGAAGTTATCAAGCATTTATCACACATCTGTCCCTGGGAAGGGGTGTCAGTCAGAGCTTTTTAGTGGAGGAGAGGCAGAGAAAACAGCATTTAACCAAGTGATGAATTTAAAAAGCAACATTTAACCAAGTTATGGTGAAAGAGGAACGAGGTGCTGAGCACCCAGGGCTGGCAGGGTTGTGCCCAGGTCCTCCCCAGCAGCACATGAGCAGGAAAGGTTTGGTGTTGAGCCACCCTGCTCAGCAAAAAGGCAAATTACACGGAGGAACCTATTTAATGAGGTTTTGTTGCACTTAGACTTGAAGTATCGAAGGCATCATATCAAGTCTCAGTGTTTCTGTACAACCCATTAAGAGACAGAGGGCTGCAGATCAAGCCATTTATTCTTTGTGAGGTTATCACCTAAAATCTTCTGGTTTAGCATTTTTTTTTTACCTCCTCCAGCTGATTTCCTCTCCCAGCACTGTCTCACCAGTCACCTCTGCTTTGTTCTCAGCTCTTGGCTGCTCAGCCAGGGAAGCTTGAGCAGGATTGTTGGGATGTGTCTGTCAGCTGGCTCCTTTGATCTCCCCATTTCTCTTATTTTTAATGATAATTTCCCTCTTGTTCTGACCTAACTCTCAGTGGCTGCTGGCAGCTTTCAGCTGGAGCGGGGGGGGAAAAAGCAAAACAGAAAGGTGGCACTTTGGCAAATGCCATGGAGTTAATTAAGGTCTTTCCCTCACTGGGACACTCTTCCAGGCATGTCTGGGAGCAGTTTAAGGGACTGGACTGGTGAGCAGCAGTAAATTAGCTTTGATTTTGTAGGGAGAAAAGGCCCCATCTCTGTCCTGGCACAGCTTCTGAGCCGCTTTGTTGTGCTGCAGCTGCTGCTGGTGGGTCCTTTGTAAGAGCCCAAGGGCTCCTGGGCTGGGTGCTGACACTGCGACACTTTTAAAGGCCTCAGGGTCTTCTCTGCCCCAGTTCCACTGCTGGGGTGGTTTGTGTGGAGCCCCAGAGCTGGGGGGGTGAGCACAGGGTGGGACAAGGCTGCAGCACCCAGCCCTGCCCTGGCAGCTCGGGCAGGAACACACTGGGTGCCCCCCTGGGCTCCCTCAGCATCTCCCTCCGTCACCTGCAAGACTCAGATGTGGATGTTCAGAGCCAGAGCTGCCTCCTCAGCCCCTCAATCTCCTGTTTCTGCTGGAGTGAATCCAGAGGAGGCCACAGAGATGTTCCAAGGGTGGAGCGCCTCTGCTCTGGGACAGGTTGGGAGAGCTGGGAGTGTTCACCTGGAGAAGGCTCCAGGGAGACCTGAGAGCCCCTTCCAGGGCCTAAAGGGGCTCCAGGAGAGCTGGAGAGGGACTGGGGACAAGGGATGGAGGGACAGGACAAGGGGGAATGGCTTCCCACTGATACAGGACAGGGTTAGATGGGATATTGGGAAGGAATTGTTGGGTGTGAGAGTGGGGAGGCCCTGGCCCAGGTTGCCCAGAGAAGCTGTGGCTGCCCCTGGATCCCTGGAAGTGTCCAAGGCCAGGTTGGATGGGGCTTGGAGCAACCTGGGCTAGTGGAAGGTGTCCCTGCCCTGCTCCTGCACTGACAGCTGGAACAAGGTGGAGTTTAAGGTCCCTTCCAACCCAAACCATTCTGGGATTCTGTGACTTTTGCACCAGAAGTGACCTTGTTTAGCACCCAGCTCTATTTTTCTTTTCCTTCTCCAGGCAAAATCTGACCAGGGCTGTTCTGCTTTCCTGGAGTGACTGAGCCCTGGGCAGAGGGAGCAGTGCCAGCCCAGCTCTGTGCTCGTGGCTGGTTTGGGGGATGTGACTGTGGTGTGACACAGTCCATGGGCCAGCTCTGCAGCCCTGGGGCATGGTGGGCTGTGAGGTGCCCTGTGTAGGTTGGCTGGGGGCTGCCAGTGCCACTGATGTGGGAATTAATGACTTTTTAGGGTTTGTTGACTGTGGAAAGGGGGTGTGAGTGTTCCCATAGTTTGGGCAGGGTGTTTTTAACATCAAGCCCTTTAGGAAGAAAACTCTGGAATGAAGATTCAAGAGCCATTGGATTCAAGCCACTGGAAGATTTACTGGCACAGGGGGGTAATTGCTGGTGTCTCCCGTTCCCTCCCAGTTTCTCTTTGAATTTAAAACAAACCAATAATTGTATCAAGCCCCCCTTCTCTCAGCTTGTGCCACAAAGCAGGGCTCTGCCTGGTGACAGCACAAATCCATCTTGGCTCTCTGGAGACTGATTGTGCCGTTAGGAGCAACATCCAAGGTGGATGTTGAAGATTGTCTCTTGACTTGCACTGGTGTTCTCACACTGCACAGGTTTGTAAGTGAGCAATTAAGGTGTGAGGGTGGAGGGGAGGGAGAAGAGGAACGAAATCACTGGCATGGGTGCAGAAGATGAAATTAGAAGTCTCTGCATGGGATGGTTCTTAGTTTAAATTGTCTCCTGTTGCTTGTGCTCAACCTGCATCCATGGAGCTGATGTAATGGGAATTTTAAGGTCGTGAAAATGTGGGAACAGGTGTCCTATAGAATAGATACTCGACTCCTCAGGTCCTGGCTGGCTTTTGCCTCTTGCCATCCAGCATCTCAGCGTGTTTTTTTCCTGATCTCCAGCACCTCCTGCTGAGGGAGTCTGGCCCTTTCCGCCCAGCAATGCTGATCCTGCTCTTCCCTGGCCCTTGTTTGGCAGCAGGGCTAAGTCAGTCAGTAAGTCAAGGACAGGGATTTGATCTCCCTGCACAGCCACATCCCCCTCCTCTGAGTTTGCAGACATCCTGTACAGCACAGAGCAAAATTATCCATCTTATTTTGAAAAATTCTGCTTTTCCTTGTGATTTTATTTTTATGGTAGCTGATCACTGCTGAATATTGAGCAGCCTGTTATCAAGGAACCAGGAAAAAGGGCTCCTGGGCAGGAGCAGATAAATCCTGGGTGCACCCTGTGGGTGCTCTGAGCATCTCTGTGCCCCAGCCTGGGAGCTTAATATCCCTTGGGATTCACTGCCTGAGCCTGGCACCTCCTTCCAGCCCTTCCCACGACCTCTGGCAGTGCTGGAATCCCACTTTTCAGCCGGGTTTGTGAGTCTCTGTTGCTGCTGGGACTCTCAGGGAAGGGTTGGCCAAGCACCTGGTGATGGTCAGGGATGGGTGCCCACGGGCAGCACCTTCAGCAGAGGTGGGCACACAGGGGTGGCATTTGATCCCAGGTGGTTGGGGGTTTGCAGACCCCACTGGTGGACTGGGTGCTCACCCACTTCCACCTTGGCAAAACAACCCCGGGGGCAGAGACAGCAAAATAAAGGCAATTGCTCCTGAGGGCTGTAAATGGTGCAGAGGGTGGGGAGCAGGTGGGAGGGTTTGCTCTGAATTGCCTGCGTGGTTTGCTTGTCTTAGAGAATTGTTTAAGTTGGAAAAGACCTGTAAGATCATCAAGTCCAACCTTTAGGGGAGTGCTGCCTTAAATTAAGAATATTTTTGCTGAAGCATCATAGGAAGTGCTGCAGTAAGCAGTGAATGTGGCTTTGCTGGTGGGGCAGTGTCTCTCTTACAGAGCCTTTGCTTAAGGAGCTTCCATCACTGTGGCTTGTGGACAATATTTCTTCCTTTGCTACACCCTCAAATGGTGAAGGCATTTCCTTTTGAAGAGTCATTCTGGTTTGGGGGCTGTATTTCCTATCAGAGTTCATATCAGGATATCATCTCAGAGTTCATATCAGGATTTCATCTCAGAGTTCACACACTGTATTTCATATCAGTGTATCAGACTCGCACCCTGCTCTCTGAATATTCTCCTCAAAGAACATGCTCTGAACAAAGATTAATTTTGCACACAGAGACTAAACTGTACGACCAGAAACTGCTTCAGGTATTGGGGAGACACCAGACACCAGTACTTGAGAGATTTCTGAATTTATTACCTGGAGAAGCTCTGGCAGCTGATTTCTGGTGTAACTGAGGGGTTCATTTCCCTCTCTCTGTCTCCTTCTGGGAAACAGTGCAGCGTTTTCCTGCATCACAGCTCTTTAGTGACCAGATGATGTGTCAATGGCCACATAAGCAGGCAGAGATTGGGTTTTTTTCATGATCTGAGCAAGGCTCAGCAGCCCCAGAGGAGAGTGTGAGTTAATGGCTTTCAGTGCACACCATTTACAACGTGACCACCGGTATAAAGTTTAAAGCATCTCCACTATTTGCTGGTTTTACATGACACTAATCCGTGCTTTGGAAGGAGGAATTTGCATTTGAATTTCAATTTTTCCCCTCTCTCCCTGTTTTTTCAGGATTCTGGCGACTGCTGGCACTGATTTTGACCTGAGGACGCTGCGAGCTGTGCGAGTGCTGCGACCCCTGAAACTGGTGTCGGGAATCCCGAGTGAGTGTCAGGACAATGTCACCTCACAGGCTGAGGGGTTCCGGGGTTTTTGGGCTTTTACATGCTTTTCTGAGCAATATTTTCTGCCCCTGTGTCTTGGCTGGCTGTGGCTCCTGCCCTTGCCAAGGTCGGATTTCCTCTCACCCCACTCTGTGCTCAGCCAGCTCGTTTCAGCTCTGCCCTCCCAAATTTGCAGGTGAGGGGCAGGGATCGCTCCTGGGACCCCTTTGCCTTTGGGGGTGAATTCATTCTCTGGGGTGTGAAGACCTGAGACCCAAATTCTGCAGCTTTCAGGCCCCCAGCCCTGAGCTTGGGCATTCTGATGGTTTTGATCAGATCTTGTGCTGGGGATATTTTCCTTTAAATAAGGGAAGGGAAAAAATGAAGGGAAAGAGCAGGTGGCTTTTTCTACTCAATAGGCAACTTCCTATATTTTCTGTGTTAACTGAAGGGTGAATGCTCCAGTGAGGAGCTGCATCCTGCCTTGCTGATGCCCTGAATCCATCCCAGTCCTCACACTGTGCCTTCCTGCTTTTTTATTTGTCCCTGTCCCCTCTGTCTGCTGCAGTCAGGAGTGGGTTTCATTTCTGAATGAGGAACAGAGAGGTTTGACCCTCCAGCAAGAGCTGGTGAAAGGGAACTGCAGCTCTGTGGGATGCTCTGGTCTTGCCTGTATTGACCCCTTGGCAGCCAGTCAGTCCCATCTCCTCCTGGGTCACCAGCTCTGCCACCTCCCTGGCAGCTTCAGGGCTGACACTTTGGTGCTGTGGACACCCAGCAAGAGGTGATGTTTTGTAATTACTACACCAAAATCTCCTGCCATCAGCATTTTTTGTGGGCAGTCTGAATTCCCAGCCAGGAGGGGTCCTTGGCTAGACTCGGGAAGGGTGACATTTGTTAACAGGATCTCTAAGAAGATGCTGCTGGGTGTTTTTTCATGGACTTCTTGCCTGTGCAAGGTGTGGTAATGACAGTCTAAGGGTGACAGAGGAGTAAGGTGGCCCCTCAGAGCTGTCCCCCCAGCAGGACTTGTTCTCCCACCTGGTGATGTGTCCTGACCGGGCACAATATTTTCCCACAATATTTGCTCTCAGGTTTTTAGGGATGCTGTGAAAACTGTGGCTTTTCCCCCCCTGTAGCAGATATACAACACTGAGGTGCAATCACACACAGCCACGGTTACATTTTCCTTCTACAGTATTTTTCCCATCCAACAGACCTTCATCCCTTTTTTTCCTGCATGTCCCCATATTGACCTCGCCAGGGCTGTCCAAGGTGGCAAGACAAGGATGATCCTTCTTTCTCCTCCCCTTAGGACAGGCCACCAAGGCAGCTGCTGCTTATCACTGCAGGTTTTTTGTTGTGGGCATCTTTTTGCCATTATCTCTCCGGCCTCTCCCTTATCTCCCCCGGTTTTAATTGAAAACGAGTTTTAGTGCTGGTGAAAAAGCTTTGGATGGACAGCCCTGGAGACAGGGGTTGTTTCTGCAGGAGCAGCATTGTGGCTGTTCTGTGTGCTGTGGAGGGAGAGGCAGCTCCTGGTCAGCCCAGCACCCCCTGGGACAGGGGAACCAGAGCCATGCCCAGCTCTGCTGCTGCAGGACCTGTCTCAGCTCCAGGCTCAGTGTCTGCTTCAGGAAAAACCCTTTTTGGGTCTCTGAGGCTTAAGAGCCCTTTGAATCTGTCACCTGAAGAAAAGACATCACAAAAAGATAGCTCCTGATTGTCTCTCCTGCTCTTGAGCTCGTCGTGGCCGTGGCATTTTTATGACCCCCTGGGAAGAGCAGGATTGGTGGCACTGCCAATCCTAAACTGTCCCTCAGACAGCCCCTCTCTCCTGCCTTCCCTCCACCCCCAAGCCCTTGTTTTTTTTCCCTTCCCTCCCTGACATGTTTTCCTTGTCCCCACAGGCCTGCAGGTCGTGCTCAAGTCCATCATGAAGGCCATGGTGCCCCTGCTGCAGATCGGGCTGCTCCTCTTCTTCGCCATCGTGATGTTTGCCATCATCGGGCTGGAGTTCTACATGGGCAAGTTCCACAAAACCTGCTTCTCCAACGAGACAGGTGAGCTTTCAGCTTCCCTCCCCTGTCATTGTGTCACCAGGATGCTCCTGGTCCCCTTCATCTCCTCAGGATCTTCCTATCCTGCTCTTATGTTGCTTTTCCTTCACCGTTTTCCACGTTCGCTGCATTTTCTCTGCATTTTCTCCCTCTTTAACACCACCTCCAAGAGTTAACAGGATTTTGTGCTCATCCTACATTCATTAGGACAGATTCTCCTCTCTGTTTCACCCCACAGCACCCCTGGGCTGCTCTCAGTCTACACAAAAATGAGAAAAAGGTGCTGAGGGCCTCCTCTCATGGAAAAATTTTTTCATAGTAGAGATACAGAACCAAATTTCTGTTGTTTCAGCTTGTTGAAAAGTGGAGGGTTTTTAATTATTTATTTTATTATAAAAGTGGTTTAAAAATTTATTTTATTATAAAGTTTATTTTTATTTTATTATTTTTATTATTTTATTATTTTTATTATTTTTATTATTTTTATTTTTAATTTTATTATTTCATTATAAATTTTATTTTTATTTTATTATTTTTAATAATTTATCATTTTTATTTATTAATGTTATTGTTTTATTATTTAATTATATTTATATTATTTTTAATTATTTTTTAATTATATTTTCTTATTTAGTGGTGTCCGTTCACATTCTCATTAGGTTTAACTCAGCGAATGTTAAATTTCCTTGGAAGGTTTCTGGGGAATTTGCATGGGTATGAGAAAACTTTGGTGGGAAATAGTAAAAGATTGGAAAGACTGGGAGCAAACGAAAAATAAGAGGACAATAGGTGGAAGGTAAGGAGTTCTTTGATGGAGAAAGGATAAAAATAACTTTCAGAGGAGGGCAAGGGAAATTGGGCACTGAAGAGTAAATGATGTGCCTGCCTGTGATGGAGTGATAAACCTCAGGAGATGGAGGAGGAGAAGAAAGATTCCCAGAGTCCCTTGGCTGGGACCAGCTGCCAGGTCAAATCATGGAATGGTTTGGGTTGGAAGGGACCTTAAAGCCCATCCAGTTCCACCCCCTGCCATGGGCAGGGACACCTTCCACTAGCCCAGGTTGCTCCAAGCCCCATCCAACCTGGCCTTGGACACTTCCAGGGATCCAGGGGCAGCCACAGCTTCTCTGGGCAACTGGGCTGTGCCCAGAAGAAAATATTGTTCTTGTCTTCAAACCATTGCATTTTAAGGTAAAATTGACTGTCTTTAAAACACAGTCCTGTATTTTCAGTGATCATCACTAGAAGGTCTTAATATTAATTTATTTACATGCATTCAGATGATAATAAAACAACATCCCTGCCGAGTCTCTGGGCACCCTCACAGAGCTTTCTAACAGCAACATGGAAAAAGTTGAATACACTTGGTTTACACAGAGCTTTGGATGAGCTTCTGATCCTGTGGAATGTTAGGAAAACATTCCATAGGAACATATGGAAGAATTTCCCCTGCTTGTGCAAAGCTCTGTGTAAACTGGAGGGCAACGAGGATGGGGAGGACACTGAGGGCACTTGGGGTGTTCAGCTGGAGAAGACTGAGGGGAGAGCTCATGGCAGTTCCAACTTCCTGGGGAGGGGCAGAGGAGGGGCAGGAACTGAACTCTGCTCTGGGGGGACCAGGGACAGCACCCAGGGAATGGCTGGAGCTGTGTCAGGGCAGGGTCAGGTTGGATCTCAGGAGAAGGTTCTTCCCCCCGAGGGTGGTTGGCACTGACCAGGCTCCCCAGGGCAGTGGGCACAGCCCCAAGGCTGCCAGAGCTCCAGGAGGGTTTGGACAACACTCTCAGGGATTGTTGGGTTGTCCTGTAAATTGGACTGGATGATCCCTGTGGGTCCCTTCCACCTCAGCATATTCCATTCCATCCCTGCATCCCAGCACCTCGGTGGGAGGACACGGATCAGCTTCCCTGAACCCCCTCCCCGGGGGTGTGGAAGGTGTCTGTGCACCTCCCTGTCCTGAAGGGCATCAAGCACCTCTGTCCCGAAGGGCTGCTTGATGTCGTTGGGTGAATTCCGGGGATCCATCCCAGCTGCTGGGCGGGAAATGGTGTTTCTGGGAGGGAGATGCGGGGAGGTTTCCTGGCGCTGCCGTCCCTGGAGCGGCAGAGCGGCCACAAACCATCAGCGGAGCCTTTTAAAACCTAATCAGCATCTCCAAAGAGGTGCATTAACGAGCCGCGGGCTCCGAGCGGGCCGGAGAGTGGAAATGTGAAGCTCATTAAAGAGACGCCTCTGCCAGAGGGGAGGAAATGCGAGGAGGAGGAGGAGGAGGAGGAGGAGGAGTCACTCGTGCTTGTTTCTGTTCCAAATCCCCAAAGTGAGCGAGCTCCCGGGATTTTTCCTGGAATCAGGAGCCACATGAGAGGTACCAACTCTCACCTCAGCGCATCACGAGGGGAACCAAGTGGAGGTGTCAGCAACGAGCGCTGCTCTAACCCTGCTGAGCCCGGGCGGGTCGGGAATAAACTGCGGGCGAGGAGGGATGGTGGGGACCAAAATGGGGCAATTTGAGCTCTGTGGTGTTGAAATACAGCTTTATTGGAATGAAAATGGGTGAAAATCGGTGTTAGCTCAGCTGGTCAGAGCACGGTGCTGACAACACCCAAGTTGTGGTTTAGATCCCTGGTTGGGCCGTTCCCTTCAGAGCTGGACTCGATGATCCTTGTGGGTTCCTTCCAACTGAGAAGATTCTGTGATGGCAGAGCACGTTCTAGTGGATACCTGACTTGTTTCCCTCTCCCTGCATGCTCCATTCTGTCCTGTTTTCCTGACACTGGATTGTTTTTAAGCAGCTGACCCAGCTCAAGTGCCCTGAAGCTGCTCCAAAAGAGAAGGGCATCACATTTATTTCCCATTTTTCCTTGAGATTCCTCTTTTCTCTGCCTTCTCCAGCCACGGGGCCTGTTCTCTTCTCTTTTTTAAAAAGGAAACCCCCCCACCCAACCCTCTGTGAACTGAATTTTCACAGCATTACCTGGCAACAAGAAGCCAAACTGCGATGAAACTGGATCCCCTTTTAATGCACCCTCACAAACGATCTGCACAAGCCAGGTTTGGCATTTTCTTTTTGCAGCCTTCTCTCACTAAGCCCTCGTGAAAGCCTGAGGTGACCCATATGGGAGCTGGAGCTTTGCCCTGCATCAAGGTGTTGAGTCAACAGGAAAGTGTGTCACATATAAATATATATATTTATATATATATATACACACACTCTTATCCTGGTCCACAGTGACAACCCTGTTTTCCTCCTGCAGCCTCTGCTCCGTGCAATGATTATTCCTGATTCTCGTTAGTGCTGCTCTTGTTTCCCCCCTGGTGAATTGGATTTTGTGCAGTTTGCTGCTCCATTACCATAACGTGTCACTTTAAAAACCCTTTAATGCTTCCCCAAATTGCTTCTTTGTAAATAGGAATATTACTTAGCATGTTTGGTTACTCTGAAAACTCAGCACTTTAATTTTCCAAGCTGCTCTGCAGGGCTGAAACCCTTCAGGCTTCACCCTGGAAGGTGCTGAGCACTCTCCTGGCCATCCCTGCTGGTCCTTCGCTGACAGATTCACCCACCTTTGCCTTCTCTGGGTCTGAAATGAAACCCAGCAGAGAAGCACCATCAGCTGGATGCTTTCCCTGCCACATGGAGCAAAAATGGGGAGCTTACAGAGGGGCTGGAGCCCTCAGTGCACCCTTCAGGCTGCTGTGGTGGAACTCCCTTATGAGAAAAAGGATCTAATATCTGTACCTGGACAATTCTGGGGCTGTCCACAACCAGATCTTTCTTGATCCAGAACCTCCCCTTTAGCTTTAATGTTATAGTGTCAATATTAACCCTTGGCTGTGCTGTAGGAGGATGTTTGAATTATGTGCTGTCCCCAAGCCCTTGTTTTTTAACCACACTTTTGGTGTTTTTTGTAGTGTTTCTCATGTACAGCTGCTCTTACACTGTTTGCAGGCCTCTTAAATGTGGTCAGCTTTCATAAGCTGGGAATTCTTAGCAGTTTGGAAGCCTTTTCTCCCAGGTGACAAGTGCCAGGATGAGAGGAAACGGCCTCAAGTTGCACCACTTGGAGGTTAGGGAAAATTTCTTCACTGGAAAGGTGGTCAGGCATTGGAACAGGGAAGTGGTGGAGTGATCATCCCTGGAAATGTTTAAAATCGTGTGGATGTGGCACTTGGGGACGTGGTTTATGGTGAACATGGTGCTGGTGCTGTGGTGATGGTTGGACATGAGGATCACAGAGGTCATTTCCATGATTCCATGACATGAGGTGGGGCAAACTATAAATTATGGGCACTCTGCTGGACCCTAAACCATCTCTTATACCACAGCAGCATATAAATGATCACATGGGCATCATGACTTTATAGTGGAAACCCAAAATGTGCCTGATGTTCCTGCAGTGCCACAGGGAGGGTTCAGCTGCTTCCGTGGCTTCAGGTGGTAACTTTTCTCCCCTCTTTGCAGGTGATGAGGTGGGAGATTTCCCTTGTGGAGAGGAGCCTCCTGCCAGGCAGTGTGAGAGCGGGACCACCTGCAGGGAGTACTGGCAAGGGCCCAACTACGGCATCACCAACTTTGACAACATCCTCTTCGCTGTGCTCACCGTCTTCCAGTGCATCACCATGGAGGGATGGACAGACATCCTCTACAATGTGAGTTTATTGGAGGGCCTGGAGGGCTCCTGGGGTGCTGCTCTGCCTTGTGGCAGTCTGGGAAAGGTTGTTCTGGAAGGAAAAAGGGATTTAATTTGTGTATTTTCTTGTAGCACCTCACCTTGCTTTTTAAGGGGATTGTTCCTGTTTTCCTGGAGGTTGTTCTGCAGGTGCTGTGAGAGCATTTGAACCACCACCATGGCCTGTGGGGGTTTGAGGTCATGGCCAAAGGAGGGCAGCGAGGCTGGGGAAGGGTCTGGAGCACAAGTGCTGTGAGGAGAGGCTGAGGGAGCTGGGGGGGCTCAGCCTGGAGAGGAGGAGGCTCAGGGGAGACCTTCTCACTCTCTGCAACTCCCTGACAGGAGGGGGGAGCCGGGGGGGGGGTCGGGCTCTGCTGCCAGGAACCAGCAGCAGGACAAGAGGGCCCAGCCTGGAGCTGCCCCAGGGCAGGTTTAGGTTGGCCATTGGGAAGAAGTTGTTTGCAGAGAGAGGGATGAGCCCTTGGAATGGGCTGCCCAGGGAGGGGGTGGAGTCCCCGTCCCTGGAGGTGTTGAAGCAGAGCCTGGATGTGGCATCAGTGCCATGGTCTGGGTGACAAGGTGGGGTTGGGTCACAGGTTGGACTCGATGATCTCAGAGGCCTTTTCCAACCCAATTGATTCTATGATTCTGTGATTTGCTTTCCTGCAACGTGTCTTGTGTCAGTGGGGCATTGCCAAGTGTAGGAATTGCTGTGGCACCCCAAGGTGCTGCTGTGGGATGGGTGGGTGAGTGGGAGCAAGTTCTCACAATGTCCTGTAGTAAATCAGTCACCAAATTGCACAACACTGGGTGGCAAAACCAGTAACTCCTTGATATTTTGTACCTGGAGCTTTGCTCTCTTGAGGAAGGCTCTTCCTCTCTTGGGTGTGGCCTTTGTGATCAAACTTTTAATTTCCATCAGTGAGCAGCATCAGCTGGACCCCAGCACTGAGGGCCAGGACTAGTTTGGGCAACTCCAGCACAATTTTATGAAGCCCTACCACCCACCTTCACACCTGGCATGACCCTGTTGGCTGTGAAGACCAGGCTGAATTTCCTCACAGGGGTCTCTGCTGGCTGTGCCTCCCTGGACAATTTTTGTCAAAACCTCTCGGTTGCTCAAGTTTTCCTCTTTCCAGTTTCCCAGAGCAGGACAATCTCACCCAGTTAGCAACGACTGACTGACTCTGTTGGCTTTCAGGCAGTGCAATGTTCATTTGAGCTGGTATTTTATGTGGGAAAATAACTAAAGTGGGCATTGCTAATGCCCTCTGCCCATTCCAGTGGCAGGAGGATGGCAGTGTGTTCACTCTGCTTCATTACAGCTTCCAGACCCACGCTGGGCTCTTTCACAGCCCTTCCTGGGAGGGTTTTTGTTACAAAAGGAAAGGATTTTCATCAACCACGGTAAATTGCAAGGTACAATTCTGCTGGGTTTGAAGCCAATATACCTGATTTATTACCTTTACTCAGCTGCTCCATTTATTCCTGGTCTCAGACCACTTAGAGTGATCTCTAGAAGGGCCCATTTCCCCACTCCGTGCCCCCCCCTTCCTGAAACTTCATCACACAAGCAGTTTCTCCCCCTCTCATTCAGAATCCTGCTCCTTCCTTCCAGTGCCAAGTGTTGTAAGAAAAGCCCATTAGCATCCTGCCTGAATTGATTAATCAATATGTGGTGTATTAGATCATCTTCTCCCAAACTGCCTCTTGTACCACGTGCAAAACCCAGAGCCTACTATTGGGGTATTGATTTTGGGGCTTGCTTTGGAACTCTTAAAGTATCACCCCAGACACCCATCAATCTCACTGGGAACAGGTTCCTGGAGGAGCTGCTGTTGAGTGTTTGTTGTACATCACGTCTGAGACCCCAGTTTAGGTTTTGATGCTTGGTGGGTTCACTTCTCTGTCAGGTCTGAGGGTCCCTGTTGGGTGGAGGGTTGTTGGGTGGAGGGTTGTTGTGCCACAGGGTCCCTCAGTTCACCTAAATGATGCCAGGAGCCACCTCTGCCCCCTGGCCCTTGGCCCTGAGTGCTGTGTCACCCCCTCCCTGTGCTGCCCTGCTTGCTGAGGACCTGCCTGTGCTTCTGCTGAGGGAATCTGTGGGTGGAGAAGATCACCCTGCTGAGCCCTCAGCCTCTTCGCAGCTTCACTCACGGGCAGTTTTCTGGTCACTTGGCTTCTGTTTTGGTGTCTTCTGTGCCTACTCTGAGTTCACCAGATTTAAAAAGGAGACAAAAGCCCAAACCACGGGCTGCAGTGGCTGAAAACCCTTTGTGGGGGCTCGTGGTGGGTGCAGCTCTCAGACTGCAAGAGTAACAGAAATGCAGCTGGTCACAGAATCACAGGATCACACACTGGCTTGAGTCTGAAGGGAACTTAAAGCCTGGCAGGGTCCAGGTCCACCCCCTGCCATGGGCAGGGACACCTTCCACTAGCCCAGGTTGCTCCAAGCCCCGTCCAACCTGGCCTTGGACACTTGCAGGGATCCAGGGGCAGCCACAGCTTCTCTGGGCAACCTGTGCCAGGGCCTCCCCACCCTCACAGGGAGGAATTCCTTCCCAATATCCCATCTATCCCTGCCCTCTGGCACTGGGAAGCCATTCCCCCTTGTCCTGTCCCTCCATCCCTTGTCCCCAGTCCCTCTCCAGCTCTCCTGGAGCCCCTTTAGGCCCTGGAAGGAGCTCTGAGGTCTCCCTGGATCCTTCTCTTCTCCAGGTGAACCTCCCCAAGCTGTCCCAGCCTGTCCCAGAGCAGAGGGGCTCCAGCCCTTGGAGCATCTCTGTGGCCTCCTCTGGACCCACCAGAGCAGACCCACACCTTTCTTGTGTTGAGGACCCCGGAGCTGGAGGCAGCTCTGCAGGTGGGGTCTCACAAGGGCCTTCTCCTGACCCGGCCACTCCTCTTTGGATGCAATCCATCCATCCAGCACCAGACAGTTCAGCACCTACACACTGATGCTGCCTGAATCAGCCTGGTCCTTACTGGACCCATCCTGGGTTGATATGGGAAGAAGCTGGAAGGTCTTGCCTCTTGCATCCAGACCTCAAATGGTGGAGTTAGTGAATGTGTGTCAGGGTCCTTCTCCTTGGTTTGGGAGGAGAGGGAGCAAACCAGTATGTTAAGGGTCAGACAGTGGGTGAGTGTCCCTTGTTCAGGGAGCTTTGATTCCCCATCTGGGATCTCCACTGCTGAGGAGAATGTTTTTACTCAGGAAAATTTTGCAGTGGTGGTGGAGCTCCTTTCCCTGCCAGCCCCAGCCCTTGGGGTCCTCGAGGAGAGCAGCATTCCCCTGGTGCAGGAGACTCATCAGAGCTGAACTGTGGACCTACTTTTCATGTTTTGCTTAATTAAGATTTGCAAAAGGCTGTGGGACCACGAGAGGCAAGATGTGGTCCATGTGAACTGTGATGATGCTTTAGGAATTAAAGAGGCTGGTGCTTTTTCTTCCAGTAACTAAGTAGAAGGCAGGGAAAATTGTGCAGGTCTGGTGCCCCTAACAGAAGAAGGACATGGAACTGTTGGAGCAAGTCCAGAGGAGGCCACAATGTTGATAAGGGGATAGAGAAGATAGAGAACCTCCCCTATGGAGACAGGGTGGGAAAGTTGGGGCTGTTCAGCCTGGAGAGGAGAAGGTTGTGTGGAGACCTCACAGCACCTTCCAGGATCTGAAGGGGCCTTCAGGGAAGCCAGAGAAGGACTCTTCATCAGGAACTGGAGTGAAAGGACAAGGGGGAATGGGTACAAACTTAAAGAGGGGACATTTAGGTGAGATATAGGGAAGGAATTCTGTGAGGGTGGGGAGGCCCTGGCACAGGGAGAAGCTGTGGCTGCCCCATCCCTGGAAGTGTCCAAGGCCAGGTTGGACGGGGCTTGGAGCAATCTGGGCTAGTGGAAGGTGTCCCTAATGGAACAAGATGAGCTTTAAGGTTCCTTCCAACCCAAACCATTCCATGACTGTGTGAGAGCTGCTGTTCCTCAGGCTCAGCAGGGCCCTTCCTTCCCCCTTTCCCTGCTGTGCCCGCAGCCACACGGGTTGGGTTGGGGCAGGTTTGTCACCTTCCTTGTGCAAACCCCCTCCCTTCCTGCTGTCAGAGCAGACAGCCTTGCCTGGGGGCCATTCCTCAGGGCTGAAACCCCTGTGATGCCAGGCAGTCCTGTGATGCCAGGCAGTCCTGTGATGCCAGGCAGTCTGGGGCTCGCACCCAGCACAGGAATGTTGAGGTTACAACTTCCTCCTTAATGGGCCCTTCATTTCCTTCTGAAAAACTCGGGTTAATTGATTGCTTTGCATCATTAGGGCTTTGTTATTGCTCCCTTCTTCCTGCTGCTCCATTGATTGGGGGGTGTTCAGAAGAGTCAGGGTTTTTAGTGGTGATGGCAGGGATCAGTCACAGGGTGAAACGCACCTTTTAAATTTAGCATTAATCAAACTATTTCATCTGCTCTGGCCTGAAAGCAGATTTGAGACTGAAAAAGCTGTTTTGTGGTGGCATCAGGCAGACTGAAGAGTTTGGTGCCAAGTGATGTTCAGGAAAGTGGGAGGTTGGCCTTGGGTTGGATGGTTTGGGCTCAGGTCTGTCCATAGCAAGCACTTTAGGGGGAAGAATTATTTAGTCATTTCCCAAGGATTGAGATGACTTTCTGAGTGGTCCAGAGACAGCCTTCCTACAGTTTTAGAGAGACTTTAGCACAGGCTTTGCATTAAACAATCTGCCTTGCAAATATCCGTGTTTTCTCCTGTGATAAATTGAGGAATTAGGAGGGCAAGGAGAAAGCAAGTTGACAAATCTCAGCCCATTTTCTCCTTGCTGATCCACTCTTTGTTCTTACAGAGAGTTCCCTTTTAATTGGGGCCAATGAAAGCTTTGCAGCAAGACTTTATCTGGAGGGTGATTTATGCTCGAAGCAAAAAAGGCTGAATCAGCAGTTGGGGGAAATGCTTTAATAATAAGCTCAGGAAAAGGCCTTCCTGCATCA